TTCCTATAAAATTTTTACATTTACATAACTTTTACATTGTCACGGCCTTTTGTATTACTGTAATTTTTTGTATTGCCGTAACTTCTTATACTGCCGTAACTTCTTATATTGCCGTAACTAAGTTACGGCAAATGTTGGATATTATGACCCACGTCGTTATGACACTTTTGACGTGATGATACGTCAACTAGACGTAACCGTACATCCTTAAATATCTGCACATGTTGTCTCATGCATCAGTAGTTTCGTCATGCGTCAGTAGTTGGTTCATGTGTCATTAGTTGCGTCATGCGTCAATAGTTGCGTTATGCGTCAGTAGTTGCATTATGCGTCAGTAGTTGCGTCATGCGTCAGTAGTTGCGTCATGCGTCAGTAGTTGCGTCATGCATCAGTAGTTGTGTCATGCATCAGTAGTTGCGTCAATCGTCAAAGTTGCGTCATGACGAAACCATGACGAAACCAATGCGTCATTGCCAAAATAGTTGCGTCAAACATCATTGGAATAATTAAAACTTGGCTTTGCCAGCTAAGTCGAAGTCGATCATCTTTATATTAAACTTTTGGAAATTATCAGGGTATTTATATTCGTTGAATTTCTTTTCGGGAAGGATAATGTAAATTACTAAATAGCCTAAATTTGATTGCTTACTGTAATTTTCAATATAGTCTAACATAAAATCGACTAAGTCAATTTTTTGAAAAATCGGCTGACTAAGCCGGCTAAGCCGATAAAATTGACTAATGCAAAATCGACTACAAACACTACTTTGAAGATCATAGTTCTATTAATATACCAAGTGTTCTGTTTATACTAATATCTAGTACTGTATAAAAATTGGTTGATTATTATTATGTAATTCATAAAAAAAAAGATGCAACATGAAAAATATATTTTTTTTGAATAGTTGTTGAAAGAATTACAAAGAGTTTAAATTAAAAAAAACCTTCATATCAACAAAGAATTATTTTAAAAAAAAATCTATATTGCAAATAATACAATAAAATTTAATATTTTTTTAATTATATATATTTTAAATTGTTGGAACTACTATTTATCTTCACCCTCATCATCATCATCTTATTGACTTAAAGGCAGCTTTTCAATCAAATCCATCATCTTAGTAATTTTCTCTTTAATACCTTTCATATCTTCACTAAAGTTATTAAATTGAATTTCAACTTCATCAAATTTCATTATCTTTTTTACATCATCATTAATTCTATTAATTTTTTTTTCAAGACCATCGATTCTTTCTCCAACTCCTTCAATAGTATCAACTTTTATGGCCATATTAATCATTTCTATTAATGAAGATGAGATGTATGGTGGATTGGAACTAGCATAATTCTTGTTGTGTACCAAACTAACCAATTTACGAACTTCATCCACTGATGCTTCATAATTCCTAATATTAATATTAAAAAAATACAATTGATTATTAAAATAATATATGCTGATTATTTAAATAAATTTTTTTTATTTACAAGAAATCAGGAAACCAGTCTTTCTTTCTTCTTTGATATGGTAACATCCAAAAAAGTTCAATTTCACTTATTGTCTAAGGTATAGAAAATATATATATAAAATGTTAAAAAGTTTTCTTGTTAATTCATGAGAGATTATTATATTAATTAATTACCACAGCTCTCAAATATAAAAATGATTGTTTGTTATTTGCTTCACTAATTGCAAGACTAAGTAAACCAATAAACAGATTCATCAAATAAATAGTTGTGGAAAACGAAAATAAAACTAATAAAATAACTAATATCCATTCTTCAGTAAGAACTGATGGACTAATCAGACTTAAATCCCCTAATAAATGCAATAAAAAAATAAATAATAGTTACAATAATATAAAATATAAGGTATGATCATTTCATTATTACCTGTCATCATAAAATATACTGCTAAAAAAGAAGAATATAACTGTGAAAACATATACAAATTTTCATAAAATTCATCTGAAAGTGTGGCGTTTGCATTAGTTGTGGTAGTATCATTAGATAAAGGGTATTGACGTTTTACACTGAGATTCAAAGAACTATTCGCATTACTGGAATAATTTTGCTGCCTCAAATAATCTAATAGAGTTGGTTTTAATAGAATATGCAAAGCATGTGCGAATGCAAAAATAAAGATTGCCCAAACTACCAAAAAAGAAAAAACTTTTTGTGCAACTCTGATCATTATTGCAAAATAAGTTCCAAAATATTTAATTGCTCGAAAGAAAAGCATAAATTTCAATTCAAGTAATAAAGTTGAAATAACTGTTTCCCAAAGCGGCATGGCTTTAGTTTGAAGCCATGCAATAGAGGCAAAAGTTGGAAACAATATCACTACGATATCTAATTATAATATAAAAAGTTAGAATGAAAAAGAATAATCGAATTATATAAAATTATATAGAATTATATAAACTTATATAGAATTATATAAAATCATATATAATTTATAAAATTATATAGAATTATATAAAATTATATATAATCTTATAAATTATATAAAACAAAATACTGTAATATACATACTAAACCAATGCCAATAGCTAAATAAAAATAATCTTGGATCATAAATAAATCGACGTATTTCAAATAATAAATGAAAAATTCCTAAGAAAATGGTTAATTCTAAGAGAATAGCTTTTTTACTCCAAGACAATTGTGTCATGGTTGCAGCGATAACAAAACAACTCATAAAGGCTGTATATATTGCCCATATAACTAGGTAATAGCTTCTTCCATAAGTGGACCATTTAAATTGAACAAGAGCTTCAAGACCCCACCATTCATAAATTTCGGGAGAAAACGTAGAGGTGAAAGAATTGTTATGAGGAATAATTAATTCTTTTACAGTTAAATATTTTTTAGAATAAGTGGAAAAATTTAATAAAGGAAACATTAATTTGATAGTTAATTGGGATTTAGATTGTTTAAATGAAAAGGGAAATATTAAGGTTTTATAAAGCGTAGGATAATTAAAAGAAAACCAATAAAGTATACGGGTTATTAATGAAGTTTTTTTTAAATAAAAATATTCACCACAATATTGAAGATGGGAAGCATTAGAATTAACTACTAAAGAATCTTTAAAATTATAAGAAGGAATAAGTGCTAAATGTGCTAACAAACTAATTACAAAAGTAAAAGATTTTTCAGATAATTGTGGAAATGAAGAATAAATAATATTTACTAATTTAATAGAGGAAGAAATATTCGCATCTTCTATTTGAAATTCACTTAATCTAAGACATTTTTTGAAAAATGTTTCGACCAATTCATCATCACTCTCTTGTAATAATGCGCGCATAAGATCATTACCGTATATCTCTAAAAGTAATACGTCATTTATGTAATAGTCAAGTAAATCTTGAAAATTAGGAGCATTTATAGTAGCCAATCTTTTGTCATTTTCAGTATACCAAGTATTTTGTTTGCGCATTTTAGCAATCCTATTAAAATGTGGAGAAGGTAATAGTTTTTTGTTTGAAAATTTCAATTTATCATCGTTAAGGATCGATTCGAGATTATTTATTATTCCTTCTTTTGGGGTTTTAAACCTGGTACCATCGTAAAGTCCCCAATAATAAAGTAAACCAATTCCACCGTCAGATTTAATGGTCCAGATAAACACACCAATAGGTGTAATTATCAATAAATCTTCACTTTCAAGAAGTTTACATTCCATGAAATAAGCGGAGTCATCCAAAAAATGATTTGAAGGAATTTCTACTTTTGTCTCAATAGTGTCCCAACTTTTCTTTTCATGATCATGCTTTTGGGCTTTTAATGTAAAATGTTTTCTTGTTTTAAACGAATCACCAAAGGTCAAATTCCAAGCGAACGAATGACCTTGAAAAGTTTTTTTTTTTGGACGCAGAACCAGGGTCATGATCTGATTTATACTCTTTTAAAGTATCTTCCAACACATTCTTAACAGATTCACCACAAAAAAGAGTTGTAATCAGGCCGTTGTCATTAATTTGTGATCGTAAATATTCGAACCATTCTGTTTCTACTAATTCTTGAACAAATAAATGATTGTTCCATACTCTTATTATATGATTTTGGTGAACTGTAAACACTTTTACTTCATTGTCACCATGTTTTAAAAGATTGATCGCAGAATCAACTTTATTTAAAGTATATGGATCTGCGATCTTATACATTACGTTGAGAGATTTCACGAAATGTCCTTTAATAAGAAATCGTTCTCCTTTAGGAGGGCCAAAGAATTCTAACTTATCTATAATTGCAGGAGGGACAATTTCAAACTTGTCGCCTGGATGATTAAAAAAAAAATTCAATAAGATTCAATAAGTATATTATATACGTGGATTTATAATACTGCATTTGATCATAATGAAGAAGTTATGTTAGCCACGAAATATGATAATAAGCTTACATTTTGCCATTAAAGCACCAGTTTCTACAGAATATATATAGAACATATCCCAATTTAAATGCTTGCCATATACTACCAGCATCGTCAAGTCGTAATTTAACCAAGCTCTTATATCCAAACGATGTCCAAATAAATAACCATTCAACAAATATTGATTTTCAAGCACTAGAGTTTTTAAATCCCATTGTGAAATTAAGAATGGTAAATCAAGAAGTAGTAACAATTTTCCTTTTGGATGGATGAAACATCTATTGAACTTGGGAAGTTCTATCATGTTCTTGCACAACCAGTCTAGTTTCGAAAAGATATACGCTCTATTTACAGGATTACCTTTAATTGCAACCAAATCATCGTTTTCGAGGAAACCAATTTCATGGATCTCACCTTCTAAACCTTGAGCGTTTAGAAGACAAGGCTTTTTTGTCATGAAATTTATTAGTT